TCATGATAATTTTATTCTATTTGTTACATTAAATACATACAATTATAAACCTCCAATTTTCCATGCTTTTGGATTGAACAGCCCTGATGAAGGCCTGAACTTCGAGCCGAAACGTCAACAAGTATAAAAATAATTATAATTACTTATTTTTACTATTTTTATATTGACTGATCCCCCTAACCATCCTTCTCTTCAATTATAAACCTCATTGTTATCACCGTTCTCAATAACTTCTTAATATTACACTTACAACTTTATACGGATTCACGTTTTCATCCACTTTGGGCATGTGTATCTTGGCAAGGGTTGTTCATTCGTCCATGGCATCTTCACCCTTAGTAGTAGTACACGGTGGACCAGACACCCCTACCTTGCACTTCCCCCACACCTCTATAAATTGCATATTGTTGTGTTCCTAGCAACTATTAAAAATCCAACTGTCCCACAAAAAAAGTCAACCCACTGTCCCAAAATAGCGCACTGTCCTATATGGCTATTACAGTTATTTTTTTGGGCCCCTGGAATTCAGCATTTGGTTTAATTTTGTCATAATTGGCATTTTATTACAGCTGAATAGTCAGAGAATAATAAAACATGAAAACATATTTCAAATAATTGGCTTAGGCTTTAAAAATACTGATGAAATCAATTCCTTGAAACTAATGCTGAAAATCAAGCGTCATTTGTAAATAAATGGCCAACAATAATGTCAAATGCCTAGAAATGAAATATCTGGACAATACATTTCTCTTTTCAAATCAGTGATTAGTTTTTAAAATATTTAAAACAGTTTCTTAGAAAATTATGGCATAGTTATGGGGCTATAATAATATTTTTGGTGTAAATGTTCATTTTTTTTTAATTAACTAATTTTTATTATATTTTATTTTTATTTATTCCTAATTTATTTAATAACTGGATTTAAAGTGATACTACACATATTGTTAGATGAACAAAAGTTATACCAAAATATAATTTTTTTTAATTAATGATTTTTTATTCATTTATTCCTACTTTATTTAATAACTGGATTTAAACTGTTGCTACACATATTACAAGACAAATGAACAAAAGTTATACCAAAAGCCTTATTATAGCCCAATAACTATGCCATTTATGAGTACTGAGGAAGAAGACAGTAGGCGTTTACAGAAGAACCACTTTTTCTGCCAATTAAGTTCATTTTCTAAGGAACTGTTTCAAATATTTTCAAAATTAATAACTGATTTAGAAAGAGGAACGTAGTGTCCAGGTGTTTTATTTTAAGGAATTTTTTGTTGCTGTTGGCCTTTTATTTACAAATGACTCTTGATTTTCAACATAACTTTTGATGAATTGAATAAATTGACTTTATCGTTATTTTTATTACCTAAAGCAATTATTTTTAATATTTTTTCATGTTTAAATATTCTCTGACTATTCAGCTTTAATAAAATGCCAATTATGAAGAAATTACACCAAATGCTGAATCTGAGTGAAAAACTAACTCAAGTCTAAGTCATCAATCCACCATGTTGGACGCCATTTTGGGACAGTGCGTTCATATTTTTTTGTGGGACCATTGGATTTTTTTAATAAATAGTTGAAAGGAACACAACGATATGCATTTTACAGGTGTGTGGGAGGAGTGCACAGTAGGGAGGTCTGGCTCACCGGGTGGGCGGGGTAGCCGAATGGGCTAACGCGTGTGCACAACACCGCCGTTGCCCGGTAACCTGATATACCAATCAAATGATATAAAATAGTCACAAGTTCGCGCCCCGATGCCGAGGGAGTCTTTTAAATCCTCGCCCACACTCCCTGGCCCGGGAAAACCCCGTATAGCCTTAATGGCGAGGAAGGGGAGGACCCAAAAAAAAAAGGTCTGGCTCACCGTGTACCACTACTGTGGATGAAGATACCATGGACAAACAAATCTTGCTAAGATTCATACCTCCCAAGTGGATTAAAACGTGAATCTATATAAATTTGTTAGTGTAACATAAAGAAATTATTGATCTATTTTAAATATAAGTTTTCATTTACTTTGGATGTGCAAATCTTCATCCTAAGTAGTGGTACACGGAGAGCCAGACCCCCTACCGAGCACTCCTCCCACACTCCTATAAATTGCATATCGTTATGTTCCTTACAACTATTAAAAAAAATAAATGGCCAACAATAACGAAAAATGCCTTGAAATAAAACATCTATACGATATATTTCTCTTTTTAAATCAGTGAATAATTTTTAAAATATCAAAAACAGTTCTTTAGAAAATGCACTTAATCTGCTGGAAAAATGGTTCTTCTGTAAGCACCTAATGTCTTCCTCAGTATTCATAAATGGTTTAGTTATTGGGCTATAATAACGTTTTTGGTATACATTTTGTTCATTTGTCTAATAATATGTGTAGCCACACATTAAATCCAGTTATTAAATAAAGTAGGAAAAGAATAAATAAATAAATAAAATAAAAAATCATTAATGAAAAAAAATAATTATTTTTTGGTATAAATTTTGTTCATTTGTCTAACAATATGTGTAGCCACACTTTAAATCCAGTTATTGAATAAAGTAGGGAAACAAATTATTAATTAAAAAAAAAAATGGGCTTCGGAGATAGAGAATGAGGTAATGCCAACTGCACATCATATGCCAGAATTGCAGAGGCTCATATTTTCAGTGTAAACTGGATTTCCAACCTACAAGTAGCGGAATGGACAACCAAGAGTACACGCAGATATCTAATGAAAATATAGAATCCGCAGGGGAGTCTTCTGAAAGTGAAGATAAACACCAGGTCGACGACATTGAAGGGAGAGAGGGAGGGAGGGAGGGAGGGAGGGAGGGAGCGAGAGAGAGATGGGGGAGAGGGGGAGAGGGAGAGAGAGTGAGAGAGAGAGAGAGGGGGGGGAGGGGGGAGGGAGAGGGAGAGGGAGGGAGGGAGCGAGGGAGAGAGGCAGAGAGGGAGAGAGGCAGAGGGAGAGAGGGTGAGAGGGAGAGAGGGAGAGGGGGAGGGAGAGAGGGGGAGGGGGAGAGAGTGAGAGAGAGAGAGAGAGAGAGAGAGAGAGAGAGAGAGAGAGAGAGAGAGAGAGAGAGAGAGAGAGAGAGAGAGAGAGAGAGAGAGAGATGTTTTTAGGAGATTGAAGGGAACAGTGATTGGAAAAGGTGAAGAGACCTACGTGCATTAGAGGAAACGTTACTTCTCTCTTCTCTCTCACTCTCTCTATCTCTGTAACTGCTGGAAGAAGGGGACTTATACGAATGAAGTCTTTGGTATTTCTGTACGTTATTCAGATTTATATTAGTCAGTAAATTTTATATTAGCTTTAGATTAGTCCGTAAGTTCTTGTTGTTTGGTAAAAAATAGTTAAGTTTAGATTACTCCTTAGATTAAGTTTTATTAATTATCTATAGTCTATTGTTTATTTAGAAATTTCATTGGGCTTTTTATAGTCTGTTCGTCAAAATTGTATACAATAATAATAAATGTTTTGATTTTGATTATTTATTAATAAAACATATGTTAGGTTGATAAAGTGGATACGTGAGGTTTTCACATGGTTGTCTATTTAAGCTCGCGTATATGGACTTTAAGACGACCATTATTACACTGGTGGCAGGTACAAGGGGTATTAGAACCCATAAAACATAAAATAAATAAGAAAGTTAGGTTTATATCAGGTTACCAGTGAAATTGAATTTAGGGATTACCATGGAGGCTGAATTGATGCAATTAAAAGCTGAATTAAACGAGGTAAAAATAGAGATGGAAGCTCTAAAACAAGCTTCAATTAGTTTTCAAAATCCATCGACTAAGGAAAACATATTAAAAAAGGAGTTAGGCTTGGAAAACTTGATACAACCATGGGGTGGGTTAAGTGATGATGATAATGTAAATACATTTTTAAGACATGTTGATCTGGTAGCTTCTACGGAGGGTCGGGCCGAACAGGAGAAGGTGCTAATTTGTTGATCAAAGTTAACCGGACCCGCGAAGGGGTGTGTTGCATCTTATCCAGAATTATTAGAATCCACTGTTCAATTTGATCAGATAGCGACAATACTTCGCAAGCGTTTTGAAGGATTTTGTACACCTGAACAGCGACTATTCCAGTTAAATTCTGTAGAACAAATGCCTGGAGAAGGAGTGCATGAGTACGCTGATAGGTGCGAAGGTTAGGAGAGCTAGCAATTCCAAAATCGTTGTCAGTAGAAGAAGCCAGCTGGGGTAGGGGTCATTACGAAAATATCGTTACGGCTGCATTTTTAAAGGATCTGCGACCAGATATTAGGTGACAACTCCTGTTTGACACTCCATCAACCTTGGAGGGGGCCGTAAATAAGGCGGCAAGATTAGGCGAAGCGCTCGCGGATGATCCTCCGGCACAAGAGGTGTGGGCTATTCGGCAGGAATTATCTTCTAACGACCGGTCAGATCAGAGATCCCCTATACATGAAAAAAAATGTTACTGATGCCATAAAACAGGCCACTTCGCCAGAGAATGTCCTAGGCCAACCAATACACAAAAGAAAGATTTTAAGAGTTATTTTGTTTGCGGTTCTAAGGGCCACTTTTTCAGTCTGCCCGAGATGGACTATCACAGCAGTTAACACTAGCGAAGAAATTAAAAATTTCCAAAAAGCCACGGGCTCGATGTGTGCCCCGCCATCGTAAGCCCGACCAGAAACGGGGCCACTCACATTGTTCCTAACTTTTCCTCTTTTGGTAAAAAGGGAATATTGCAGATAGTTCACATTGAGGGGCAGCGCCGCGAACTATTGGTGGACAGTGGTTCAGAAATCTCAATAATAAAAAAACCGATATAGGTGCCCCGACAATAGTTTGTGGTGAACAAGATTTAGAGTGTCGAATTGACTCAACAGTGTTGTCTCACCGGTTTGTAGTTGCCGATGTTGTATCGAGAGCGGATGGTCTAATGGGATGGGACATCATGAGAAAATTGGGACTTATTATTGATGCTGCTAAGGGGATTATAGTGCAAACTAATAGAAATCAACAGCGGGAGGTTGAAATAATTTCAAAAGAAGACCAACTAAAAGCAATTCGGGTCCATGCCGTAAATAAAGTTGTGATTCCGCAATTTAGTGAGGTTCTCGTTAAGGGTTCAATTGAAAGAACCATGCAACGGTGATATCTTACTGGACCAGTCGTACAGACGCAATATGGTGTCAGAGTTGATCGTAGTATTAACAACATTGATCGTAAAAGAGTCTGCGTGAAATTAATCAATTAGTCTGAGGAGGAGGTGGTGATACCCAAGGGGCAATGCTTAGGTCTGGCCGAAGAGGTCGCTCCGACGGCGGTTTTAAAACCAAATGTCCAGAAAAATTTAGTGGATTTGGTGCAGACTTTAGGTGTGAACGCGGAAGGGACAAAATATCTCATCAAAGAATGTCGAAATCGACTAGTGCATTTGACTTCAACTGAAAGAGAAAAAATTTTAGACGTCTTGAAAAAGTATTTACGTGAGTTCGAACCTCCTACAAAGGAAGGCTGTCGATTAGGGGTATATCACCGAATCCGAAAGAAGGAACAGTCATAAAACGACCCAACCGCGTTCCTTATCACCAGCGACCCGTAGTGGCAGAATACATTCAAGACATGTTAGAGAAAGATATCATATGAACTTCTGAAAGCCCATGGTCAGCTCCAGTAGTACTTGTAAAAAAGAAAGGAGATGGATCATCTGCCCCTAAGTATAGGTTCTGTATCGACTTTCGTGGTCTGAACAAAATTACAAAAACAGATGCGTACCACCTTCCATTGATTGTAGAAACGCTAGAGCACATGGGACGAAGCCGAATCTTCACTACATTGGAATGAGCAAGTCTCTGTCATCAGATTCCAATTTGGCCGGAAGATCAGGAAAAGACTGCATTTACCACCGAAGAGGGGCATTTTGAATATAAAAAGATGCCTTTTGGTCTAGTAAATACACCAGAAACTTTTCAACGATTAATGGACCAGCTACTAGTAGAAATAAAAGGAGACAAATGCTTAGTATATATATATCTTGATGATATTATTGTATACAGTGCTACCATAGAGGAGCACTGTCAGCGATTAGGTAAGGTTTTGGGGGACTAGACGAAGCTAATTTACGAGTGAAAATGGATAAATGTCACTTTGGGAGAAGTTCATTACTTGGGGCATATAGTTTCCAGCGAAGGTGTTAGGCCCGATCCGAAGAAGGTAGACACAGTGGTAGGTTATCCAGTCCCGAATAGTGTCAAGGACGTCAAAGCTTTTTTAGGACTTGCTGGATATTATAGATGCTTTGTTCCGGGATTTTCAAATATGGCGAAACCCCTATCAACAATTTTAAGAAAGGATGAGAAATTCCACTGGGGTCAAGCTCAACAAACTTCTTTTGAAGCGATCAAAACAGCTTTGTGTTCACATTCAGTTTTAATTTACCCAGATTTTAATGATCCATTTAGAATATCGACAGACGCTTCGGGTGTAGCCTTAGGGGCTGTCCTTTCTCAGATAGGAGAGGGACATGAAAGACCAGTGGCATACGGTAGCCGTCAACTTAATAATACCGAGCAAAACTACTCCGCCACTGAAAGGGAATTACTGGCAGTAGTATGGGCTACTGCTCAATTTAGATGTTACTTATTAGGAAGGAAGTTTACATTAGTAACTAACCATGCTGCTCTCAAATGGATGCTAGATTTGAAAGATCCTTCTGTTCGATTAGCATGATGGAGCCTCCGGTTAATGGAGTACAACTATGACGTGGTTCATGGGCCTGGAGTACGACATCAAAACGCTGATGGTCTCAGCAGAGGAGTTGCAGTAGTAGATTATAGGTTTCTCGATCATGTATCTTTACTGAGAGAACAAGAAGAGGATCGCTGGTGTCACAATATTATAGCAAAATACCCAGAGAAAGTGCGTATAGGTGACAAAGGTTTATGGTATTGGAAGGACGATCAGTCTGATCCAGAGATGTGGAAGATAATGGTCCCTGTATATTTGCGGAATTTTATCATTAAAGAAAATCATGATTCCTTGTGGGCATGTCATCCAGGTCAAACCAGGTCGCACAGCAGCGCGAAATCCTTGAGAGGTTTTACTAGCCAGGCGTGCGGAACAATGTTACAACGTACGTTCGCAATTGGCGTTCTTGTAATACGAGAAAAAGCCTAAGAGGGTTAGCTGTTCCACTGGGCCCTCCATTAGAAGGTACCTATCCCTTCGAATTGGTATCAATAGATATAGCTGGCCCATTTGCACTAAGCACAAAGGGAAACCAGTATCTTCTAACATTTGTAGATAATTTTACAAGATACACAGAAGCGGTACCCTTAAAAGAACAAACGGCAAATGAAGTGGCGGAAGCATTTGTTAAATATATTGTTTTGAGACATGGGGCCCCGGAGAAAGTTTTAACAGAAAGGGGTAGGAATTTCACATCAGACTTGTTTAAAGAAACATGTAGATTACTAGGAATAGAGAAAGTTCAGATCACGGCCTACATCCAGCAGAAAATACATTAGTTGAACGATTCCATCGGACGCTGTGGGACTCTCTGGCACACTTAGTGCGTAAGGAAGCTGCCGATTGGGACCGATGTTACTGAAAGTTAATTGTAAATAAAGATGTTTTGGCAGGAATAGAGAATAGCCTTCCGCTTTTATATCGGGGCTTTAGGTTATTTATACTCGTGAATTATTAAAACAAAACCCCGGCACTGGATGCAGACTTTTTTTGAGGGTGTTTAACTGTGATTGGGAATTCGGGGATCTACTACCTTTTGTGACATTGAGTGAGAAGAAACAATAGGAATATGTATATATGAAATGTAGGACTTAGTAAACACTTTGAATGAATTGACTCACCTGGTTTATTCTTCAATTGTGAGGCCTATAGGACAACTAAATAAAAGGGCTTTTCACTCCGGTATAATAAAACAATTTATTTTAACAACTGATAATAAATGAATATATATAAGTGAACGGTCGGCTTGATAATCTTGGTCTTCAATGTAGTAAGCTATCTTCCTAGATGATGTCCTCTTGTGTTCATGTCCAGGCCTCAAGTCCGTCTTCCTCCTCTCTTCTGACAACCCCCTTTGTACATGTCCTGGCCTCGAATGCCTTCTCTTCTCTCCCGCTTTTGCTACCTGCTGGGTCCTTTCAGTATCTCCCACCTTCTTCCTTCTTTATCGATATGAGACTTTTCAAAGAACACTTTGTCCACTGCACAATTGAGTACAATTCACAGTGCAACCTCACATTCCTATATATTATATATTCCTTCTCATTCCCTCACACAATGTCAACTAAAGGAGTAAATATACAGGGAGCTATCTACTACAGATAGGTACCCTTTGCTTTTGCGGCTTACAGGGCGACACCTCATAGTTCAACAAGGTACTCTCCGCACCATCTAATATATGGTCATAAATTTGAACTTCCATTTCCATGTGATTTTTATCAACATAAGTTCCCAGGATCAATTAAGGAATACGTTTCGGCACAAAAAAATAGACTTACCGACATTCATAAAAAGGCAAATGAATCGGCGAGGGAGACTTGGAAAATTCATACTTGAAACCATAATTTTGGAAAGACTATGCGTGAATATCAGGAAGGAGAACTAGTTTATTTATTCGAACCAGATTCACATCCAGAGCTGTCGAGGAAATTTAGACATCCGTGGTCAGGATCGGAGAAGAAGAGTGAGAAACACTTTATTTTCATAAAATATAAAGGATTGCTGCCCAATTATATTTGGTTGCTATATACACAACATACTCTTCTATCCTTAGGACAATATATGAACTTATATATAAATATACAGAAGTATTAGTTAATATTAGTAAAATAGATATATATATATATATATATATTGTTACGTTCCCTTTGTCAACAAAAACCAAACAAAGAGTTTACTTTTTCAATGTATTATTTTTTTTAACACATAACATCAATTCTCAGGTTGGGTTCTGACAACTGAACACTCATTCAACATTTAATAACTATAATTTACTAATTACTAAATACATATAAAGACACGAGATACATACATTAAGAAATTATACATTAAAAAACCTTGATTGTCCCAGTCTAAACTTTGTGGCTCTTTCTATTTTCTCAACTTGCTGGCTAGTACCTTTTCTCTTGACAGCTTGTCACATTTTCTCTTGGCGGCTCATAACCTCCTCTCTTGGCCGCTATCACCTTCTCTCCTGGCGGCCCGTCGCAGTCTGAGTTACATGAGGCTTGCTTCCCCCACTTCTTCCCTGTAGTTCATGCTGTTACCGCTTTTGCGCCACTATTCAAATGCCATGTAATGTTGACATTACAATATATATATATATATATATATATATATATATATATATATATATATATATATATATATATATATATATATAAATTCAAACTTCACTATTTTATTGGGAATAAGGTCACTTAATTAATTGTATTGTAATTAAGTGACCTTATTCCCAATAAAATAGTGAAGTTTGAATTTAATACTCAAAGGTCGATGAAAGAAAAGTTGTAAATATATATATATATATATATATATATATATATATATATATATATATATATATATATATATATTGTAACGTTCTCAAAAGCCACGCTAGTTGGGCGCCATGTTGTAACGTTCTCTTTGTCAACATAAATCAAAACGAGTTTCCTTTTGAATATATTATTTATTTTAACACACAACATTAATCTCAGGTTGGGTTCTTACAACTGAACACTCATTCAACATTAAATAACTATAATCTACACTAATATATAATTTAAAATAGTTTTATAAAATAATTTGTCCCGGTCTAAACTTTTGGTTCTATCCCTTTGTCAACATAAATGGCATTGTTAGCACTCACCCAAATGTTTACGCCTGTCAGCGAAATAATCTCTTCTTACTTACGAATGTCCCGTTTTCTGTACCGTTTAATTAATTTCTGCTGTGTTCTCTTCCAACATAAAATAATCTCCACTAGTGGCCTCTATCAACACTCGAACCGGCTAGTACTCCTTTTTCTATCCTCAGCTTGTCACCTTCTCTCTTGACAGCTTGTCACATTCTGCCTTGGCCGCTATCACCTTCTCTCCTGGCGGCCCGTCACATTCTGAGTTACATGAGGCTTGCTTCCCCCACCACTTGCTTCCCGTAGTTCGTGTTGTTATCACTTTCGCGCCACTATTTAAATGCCATGTAATGTTGACATTACATTTCTCCTCCGTTCCAGTTTAAAAAAAAATAAACTAATTTTAAAATTCGGTGAATTATTTACATTTTTTTTTTTTTTTATATAAAATAATAAATTTAACTTTTGACATTCACACTTTTTACAATAGAGTTCCCAACCTTGTTAGCAAACATTTACAATTTTATATACAAAATATTGAATTATTTACACTATATTACCTTAATCTACATACAGTAATTACATAACTTGTTCATCTAATTTATGTACAGGAAAAGTAGATTGATATACAAATAATAAAATAAGCTGAATACATTATTTACCAAAATAATTTTACCGTACAATTCCCATATCTTATGTATAGTTAACTTACAAAATAACTGTTTGAATTACTTATATAACATTCAAAAATATATTTTAACTTGTATTATAGGAATAATCAGAGAGAAGACACTAATTGATTAAGACAATTTTTTAACTTTCTTCTAAAATTTGGATTTTACCTAGCAATATCCGGCCAAAAAAACTTATTTAACTTCTAAATATTAATCTATTATCCTATCTACCAACAATGTAATTAGACTATTTACAAGTTATCCAGATTGAGTAACCTAACGATGGTTTCGCCAGGACCCTCTAGCTCGTCAACAGAAGGGACGCTAATTTAAAACCCTTTTTTATCCTCTGGATAGGATAAAGACTACCGTGTCTCACTATAACATAATGAGCGACCTGCCCTAACATGATCCAGGATCATATAACCCCCATAAAACTCATATTCTAGAATAAGTAGGCTGACTGGTGATCCATTACAATCAAAATTATACTTAGCGAGTCCATGGAATGACACTTCATATAATCCTGTTCTTTTCTTACTCCAGTCATCAAACTTTCCTAACTCATCTTTAAATCGTAGAGTTAACTTTTCTGGAATTAAAGGAACTTCTGAACTAAAATAATTACCATGCTTTTCTCTGCTGGATTTTACTCCTTTGAACTCAATTTGAAACTTGAGAAGTTCTTTCTTGATATCTTTAAGATTAACTGTATGAGTTTCTACTAGAAATTCTGTTGTCACTAATTTTTCTTCATGGGTTTCTTCATCTTTTCCTAAGAGATTTTCTGATCCAATATCAATTGAAGCACGGGCGGATCTACGGGGGGAAGGGAGGGGGGGGCTTTCGGGCTGAAGCCCCCCCCAAAATGGTAAAATATAACCACGTTTTATCGAAAAAAATATAAAAAAAGTATCACTTAAAGTATTATTGTTCGTGTGATTAATATTAAAAGGGCTTTAGGAATCACTTAAACACCGTTTCATACATGTTGTTAGTTTCTTTCTTTTTTTCTAAAGTAATTATCGTTGTTTTTATGAAAAAAAAAGCTTTCGGGCTGAAGCCCCCCCCAAAATTAAATCCTGGATCCGCTAGTGAATTGAAGAATTAATTTTGCTAAGCTCTTCAGTAACAGTTTGCTTCTCATCACTTTCTGAGTGACCAAAAGTAGTTTTCTCAGCCAGTTTCGTTTCTTGAACTTCAGTTATATTTGCACTAATTTGGGTTTCTAGGTTATCACAATCTTGTTTCAAAATTTCCTGTTTATTATTAGAAGTTTTTTCAGCCAGTGTAGTTTCTTGGACTTCAGTTATATTTGCAATAATTTGGGTTTCTAATTTATTTTCTTGAATTTGACTTTCCAAATCCCGCTTCCAAGCCTCCTGCTTGTTTTCAATACTACGAAGAATAGTCATTACTTGTTGAAACATACCACACACATCAGCACAACTCAAATTGTTGCTATTACTTATATCTATTTTTTCACCCTCCATATTATTTTCACTAAACTCATTTATTTCATTTAATCCCGACTGACTTTCACACTGTCTATTTTTATCAAGTAGGCTTTGTACAACTGACTCTCCCTTATTTTCTACACTAACAACATTCCCATTAGATTTTCCAAGAATTATATTATTACAATCTCTAACTTCTATTATCTCTCTCTGCTTATTCTCCATATTACTCAAAAATTATTAATAAAAAAAATAAAATTAAAA